GGCTTTTCTCTTTTGTGGTTTCTCGGAACGTTATTTCGGCGTGCGGATATTGAACAAAGGGACGGAAATAGAGGCTCGATAGAGGAAGAATCGTTTGGTGGACGGTCGACGGATGGATTGAAAGACATCTCTATTTTAGAGCAAGGGGACCCGGCGGTCGCAATTGTATCCGAGGAACGAGTACTATGCTTTATTAAAGCGAGACGCGGACGGGATCACTGAAAGAAGAGACTGGAAATGTGTCAAGAAATATTCAGAGCTGGCCTGTGCACCGCTTTAGGAGGAGGATGCGCTAGAGTGTCTGGCAGATAACACTAGAATGAATTAAGATGATACCGAGGGCGACCATTTTGTTGAGAAACTGGGCGAAATGTCTCCGAGCGATGCAACAGACCTAGCTAGACACTAGATTTTCCTGAAATTGGGTTATCATTCCTTCGAGTTGAATGGTAGCTAACCCTAGATACAACGCAGACCTTTTCTAGGAACATTCTAGACATGAGGATGAAGAGAATAGCCGAGGTGACTTGAAGAACATCCATGTCGTGAAGCAAGAGGAGCGCTGCTGCTGCTGCTGTTGGATAATGAAAACAAATACGTGGGAGGCTATTTCAGAAAATATGAGTAACAAAAAGCAGTGAGAAAATGCTAGAGTCGAAGGTTTAATGTTCAGAGGTCTGTTCAAAGAGAACGCTCTATTTATTGTTTTACAAGGCAGACTTAATCTGGGTTTCTGTCGGTAGGAAAGTTGGTCTGAGACAAAGGACTACCATGGAAAATACTTGAACATCGTAGAGACAGTTCTAGATTTTACAGGAGAAAATTTCTCTAAAAATACAATGCACAAGGTACGTAACAGACACAAAGAAAATTCCAGACTTATACCTGACGAAACTATGATACAAGGATACGTTAAAAAGACTCACTATACACTCTGGCCAATATTTTGCAAGATAAATCAAGGAGACAAGAATACCACGGGAAACACATAATACGGATACCATGGACCAATAAGAAACTGCAGTTCTTGCACAATTACAATACATACCCATCTGTTCAATAAGAAGTATTTATATGGATTACAAAATGTATACTTTATACAAAAGGGTAGCCAGAAAACTACAGAAAGATCTATTTAAAAACCTACTCTATTTATTCTCTCGCAAGCCAAACTAACAAGAGAATGTCACCGCAAGGAAAACTAAGTAAATACCTAGGTAAATACCTAAACGTAGAATCCCCTGCAGCGAGAGAAGCTGTAGCCCTTGCACCTTTCCACTAACAGTACCAGCTAGTTCTTCATTATTAACTAACAATAGAAATTCACGGTCATTACACACGTAATGTCTGATTGCACTTTTTGGCTAGGTATTTACACATAATGTGTAATTGGTTTTAAACAGTTCAATATAAGAGAAAGTCTCATACATAGAGACAAAGGGATACTCGATTGGATTAAGGTGAGATACCAAATTCTGAACATCTCATGGACATAGCTACGCGAACGGATTAAAGTAAGAAACAAAATCCCCTACGCCTCCTGGACAAAGGGATACTCAATTCAAACAAAAAAGGGAAAATCCCATATATCTCTTAGACAAAGTTTCAAATCGTTTAAAGCAAGAGTAAATCTGAAGAACCCTCCCCATTTTCAGATCTAATACTAAGCATTACCCATGATTTCAGGTACCTCAATTAAAACAAAAAAGGGAATATCCCATATATCTCATAGACAAAGACTCAAATGGTTTAAAGCAAGAGAAAATCCATCTGAAGAACCCTCCC